CAATTACTTGCCTGTCTGTAATATACTAGCTTCTGACAGCTGTACTCAATGACAAAATCTACAATCATTGCGAAATTAATGATATAATATCACCTCTACAAAAATGATCTGCTCGTTGATCTAGAGGATGTAAGGAGCTACTGGTAATGGCTTCTGTGATTAAGCACCATGTGAGAACTAACCACTTCCATGCATGCTATATCGATTTCACGAATGCATTTGATTCTGTACCTCATAATTGGCTACCCAAGGTGCTGGAACTGTCTAAGATCCATCCATCGATCAGAGCAGTATTATCGCATTCTATGACTTTATGGAAGACACAACTTAGCATCAACGGCAAGATGATAGGCAAACTGAGCATATCCAGAGGGATCTTCCAAGGCGATTCATTGAGCCCAACCTGGTTTTGTTTAGCCTTAAACCCCCTCTCTACGCTACTCGACAACAGCAACGTGGGATACAGAATTAAGAAGAACAGTGCAGTCAGAATTAACCATATGTTTTACATGGATGATATCAAACTGCTCGCAGAATCAAAGCAGCAGCTAACTTCGTTGATTACTACCGTTAAATTGTTTAGTAACAGCATATGCATGGAATTCGGTTTAGAAAAGTGCGCAACTGTTAATGCCAGCAAAGGACGCATCATTAATATGGGTGAGATAATAAATGACATCGAGGAATTGGCTGAAGGCGATTCGTATAAATACCTAGGGCTCAAACAGCAACTGGGACTAAGTCACAGCGAAATCAAAAAGGACTTAATGGAAAAATATAGAAAACGCCTTGTAAATTTGCTAAACACCAAGCTGAATTCCAAAAATATGATATCAGCCATTAATGCATGGGCAGTCCCAGCCCTAATTTATTATTTTGGTGTCGTTAAATGGAGCAACACCGATCTGGAAGAACTGAACAGGCTAACAAGGAGGTACATGACAAAGTTTCGTATGCTCCATCCTAACTCTGCTGTGGAGCGGCTCTACCTGCCCCGCAATGAATGCGGCAGAGGACTAATCAACGTATCCCAGATGTGCCACACACAAATCATGCATCTTCGGGAGTATTTCTTAAACCAAAATAGCGCTCTAGTACAACTAATCAAAGAGGCAGATTGCAACGCAACTCGCCTGTGTATGTCACAGTTCCAACAGCCATCCAGATGCAATGCAACAAGAGAAAGGTTGCAATCTTGGAAGAACAAACAATTGCATGGCAGGTATCCGTCTCAAATGGAGAATGTTGGTCTTGACAAAAGAACATCGTTCTCGTTTCTCCAGCGTGGTTTCTTACACCCAGGGACTGAAGGGTTTATCTGTGCTATACAGGATAAGGTTATCCGCAGAAGAAATTATGACAAGCATATATTGAAGAACCCTATCATCACTGATAAGTGCCGTAAGTGCGATACAGTAGGCGAAACAATCGAACATGTCACAGGAGCATGCCCTAACCTGGCCAAAGATGCATACTTAGGCAGACACAACAAAGTAGCCGCAATAATACACCACAGCTAATCGCACACAAAGAAGGTCTAATAAAAGCAAAGGTGCCCTACTACAAATATCACCCTGTGTCCGTTCTTGAAAATCAGAGCTTATTAATGTATTGGGATCGCCCAATAACCACTGATAGGCGCATAGAGCATAATCGCCCTGATTTAGTCCTTATAGATAAACAGAAACAAACGGGAATCATAATCGATATTGCGGTTCCACTTACGCATAATCTTAAGTCCGTGGAAACTGAAAAATGCTCCAAATATCAAGACCTCAAAATAGAATTAGCACGGATGTGGAAGTTAAAAGAAGTAATGATTATTCCCATCGTCATATCAGTGGAAGGGGTGGTCACGAACGCTTTGTCGGAGAATTTGAAGGTCTTGAACCTTCCAAAGGGTACATGTATACAACTGCAGAAGGCAGTGATCCTCGACACTTGTCGGATTACAAGAAATTTTTTATCGATATAGGAAACTGAGGGCGGGTCATGATGAATTTCATTCCCACCCAGAGCCACAATCTATAAACATCATTCGAGATGGCCAGATACTACCAGCTTAAGCTGTGAAAACTAATAATAATAATAATGATTTGCACAGAACGTGCTTACACAAGTCAATATTAAGAGGATGAAAATAAAAGTATAAAAGATAAAATTATTACAAACTACGTTAAAATCAATAAATAAATGGCATAAGAGATAGAACCGATGGAAACCTCAGAACCAACCGAGCTGTAAATTAAACACTCCTCTTAAGCTTTTCCATTTTCTTACCGTACCTGTTCTCGAAATAGTCCATTTCCCTGCCCACTTATGCCGACACATTCACACATGGTTGAAGGGTCGGATGCGTATAAGAAAAAGGAAAACTGTCGGTAGCTCCCCGAAGAGCAACTAATAAAAGGACAATATTGGCGGTGCCGAAACGCTCTGGCCATTTCACTACCAGCCTAAAGCAAACAGCAAACAGTTACTAGTTATAGCACCTGGGGTCCCCAAGCATTGGCGCTCAAAAATGGAGGGACCTCGGTCAAAATACTAAGCGATACTTTTCAAGCCATATCGCTGGGTTAGTGCAAAAACTAAATAGCTACCAAAACGAAACTTTTAGTATATCGAGTTAAGACAGCACAAAGTGCCATCTGTTACCAGACCACTGTGAAAGTAAAAACAGCAAGGTTTCTATGCTCTGAATAGAGTAGAGTTGCATAGCTTTGGTCCATTGTCCACCGGGACCATGCTAAAGAGTTGCTAAATAGCACGAAACTGCTGCGTATGGTTCGGCGTCTGTAATCACACGAACAAGAGCTATATTACTAGTTTAACGTTTTTAGTATTTGTAATTTACATAGTCTGTAGTATTTTTCTCTGAGAAGATGTGAAAGAAAGAAAGTTGGTTGAGTACCAAGATCGCATCTGGATGATTATGTGTATAAAATGAGTGATATACTCAGTGACAGTACAATGTGTGTTACACCCAGAAAAAATAATTCCTTCAACTTGATTTTTTGGCAATGAGGCAAAAAAGAATCGATAACATTTTCACGAAATTTTATTCACAAGTAAGAGGAAATAATTAATGTGTTGGATGACCCCGCGGCTGAATACACTCCTGTATACGTCTAGGCATCGACAAAAGGAAATGTCTGGTTGTGGCACCTCATTCCAAGAAATTCGAACTTCGTGGATTAGCTGCGGCAGAGTCTGTGGCTGATGGTGCAAAGTGTGTAGTCTCTTTTCCTTCTTTCTTCTCATTTCCATCAGGCCCGTAGATCCAAATGATAGTCTCTAGATTTACACCTTATCTTACTTCAATTACTAGTATTCTTTCTGATATTGCCTCCCACTTATGTATGAAATTCCTCTTATTTCAATGTTTAATACATCCCACTCCTGCAGCAGCTCTTTCCTTTGATCTACGCCACTGTATATAAAGATATGCCCGTTGCCTCGATTTTCCCTTTGCTTTATTTCTGTTATTACCAGAATTTCTATTTTCGATTTTTCAAATTCACTAACTAACTCAGGTTCTTTGCCATTTATGCTTCTTATATTCCAGGTTGCCAATGTCATGTATGCCATCCTGCAATCTTCATTTTTTATGTTTATACATTCCTTATTCATTTCCGTTGCAGTAGCCTGTTTCGTCTTCAATTTCCAGTTTTTGCCTAGTTTTCTGGGAATTTGTTTTCCATTTTCTCTAATTCGCTTGTTTCTGCATTCCATTTCCACAATTCATTATCCACTATTAGTTTTTGATAGCCCATTTTAGTGTGTTTACCTTGCTTTCTTTTCTCGTTTGCTTTTTCTATTATTTTCTTTTGTAGGTATCGTTCGGTTTTAGTTAAATCATCATTGATATATGTTATTTCCTTTAATTCTTTAAGTCTGTGCTTATTTTGCATTATTTTCACTTTATCGTCAATGCTATTAAAATCTACTAAGCACACCTTTTCTGATAATTTTCTGGCTCCATTGACTGTTACTGCTACTTTCAATTTTTCTCCAATAAAGCCTTGTCATCTTTTCTCGCAAATTGGCTGTTTTGCCCGTATTTAAGGGATATCCTTGTATAACCATGTTTTTTTTCGTTTTTCACTTTCCATTTTCTCTATTTTAGCCTAAGATATGGTGATTTCCTGTTTTAACTGTTCCACTTCTTTCTTTACCTGTTCGTTTTCCTCTCTAAGAATTTTTACCTCTTTTTTGCATTCATTTTGTTCTTTTCTCAGCTGTTTTATTTCCTCATACAATGCATTCAAATCTTTTCCACATTCTTCCTGGTTTTGTTTGATATCCTCAACATCCATAGTGAGATTTGTTAGAAGCCCCATCATTTGTGTCATATCTTCCTTCGATTGCACCACTTTGATTGGGGATATACTAAATTTTTTGGTGTTTTTTTTTTAATTTCTCCCTCAACATCCCTTTTTCTTTTCCGTTCATCAGTAGTGTAATCATCCGAGTCTGTAATACTGTTAATCTTAGGTTTATTTGTTGTATTTCAGCCGATATGCATTGTTTCTTCTATTTAATCTCTTATAAGGTTTGCTAGGAAATTTCAGTGTCGCGATAATCCTTGAATCCACCTCAACGGTTCGGAGATATCAAGTATTTTCCAATTCCTGAGAACCAGACTTTCTTCCAAATCCGGCAGCACCTCATAAAATTCCAACAGCAATTGAGGGGCCTGGAAGTAAAAGGGTTTAAGTACATTTTTAGTAGTTCTGAGATAAATGGCTTCAAAGTTTACTTGAATTTGAAAATTCCAGGAATAAATTTATCAAAGTATGATACTATATTAAGTTTATTTAAATGCCAATAAAATATTACAAACAAAAAACATTTTCTTAATTTTGCTTTTTTATTGTCATTTTTGTAAAAATGTACTTGAATCATTAAACATGTTACAAAAATTATGGTGGTAACATGATTCAAGTGCAACTACCGTACTAAACCAAACATTATTTAAAAATAATCTATAACAAAATTTCTTATTCATAATCAGAATCTAATATTTGGATGTCTTCATCATTTTCTTCATCTGAATCAGCTGGTCTTGGTTGGGGTTCATCTATATCAGGTACTTTTTGACTTGCTGTCAGGGTCTGTGTTTGTTTCCTTTTTCCTTTCTTTGTTAATGCTTTCCCATCGTGCCTCATGTTTTTATAAAATGTATGGTGAATGGGCGGAATGTATTCCAATAAGCTAAGCAAGTTTTTGTACTTGGCGACTTTAATCTTTATTGAAGTGCCATTCAAAGGCTTTAGTATTGAAAAGTTAAAACACGGACGCCCAACGTTTGAGGTTGCCATTAAGCAACCGCTAAACTCTACATCAATGTTTAGGGTACTCTTGTATCGAAATTTTAGTCTTCCACTTTTATAGTAAGCAAACCAGCAAATGTCTTTTCATTTTAAGGGGTAACCGTCACTATTTTTTTTTGATCGTTCATAATTTCATTGAACGGCGAAAAAGAGTAAAAATCGTCTTTGTTCATATTGTACACAATGAATTTGGCCGATGTGCATCTTATTACAGTCTCCCAATCTGCGGAGACAAAAACTTGAGGGATTTGCCTTTTTTTCTTCTCGATTAAGCCAAAACTACGGTCACATTCCATATGTGTAGCTTGAACAATAAAACTAAATAATTTAGCAATGTTTTTATTCTTATTTTGTCCTCCACACGTATCACTGTATGCAATAATATTCGTAACTGTAGATGGAAGGGTTTGCACAAATTTTATTAAACATAATCCTATCTTCTGTGAGCCCCTGGATGCAATAGTTTCGTTCCATACATACATATAACTTTTTCCAGTCAGTAAGTCAAAGGCACAGAAATTATACGTCCATAATTGACTAAGATAAAATACTTTAGTGGTTAACAATGGCGTCGGCAATGCCTGTTGCAGATCAAAACAAATTACAGCCGGATTTTTAGAATCATTTTTATTTTCAGCAATATCAGCTTTTATGGCATCTGTTGCTTTCTGGGCTTTTCTCGAGGTCTTCCTTGGCATTTTTAATCACGTCTTCATTTGTAGAATATCTTATTAAATTTTGTAAATTGTCACAACGACTGCAGGTATCACGATAGGGCTTGTGGAATCTTAAATTGAATTCCGTATTGAAAATATGCCTGTAATAGGAGTCTTTTACTGGTAATTCTTGTTTGTCAATACAAAACTCCTTATATAATTTGTACATCTTAATGATACTTAATTCTCCTGAGATACCTAGCGTTCCCAATCAGTACTCGTTTTGCTTATTATTATAACACTACCAACACTGCAAAATGCGTATTTTTAAGAATAAGTAAAACATTGAAATCACGTCACACGTAAAACATTAAAAACAGTTGCCAAAGCCTTAGAAGTGAAATGGTTCAAGTGCACTTGAATCATTTTACCACATACTGTATTAGTGGATATTTTGATATGTTCTCAAAGACTATGAGAGATGGCACAAGGGAACGTTGCGTGCATTTAAATCATTTTACCACCAAGTTAGGATATGCTTTAGGTATGATATTCTGCACTTAGACCATTTAATTAAAAAAGTGCACTTGAACGTTTTTACTTCCAAACCCCTCAATTAACCGTTTGTTTATGAACTCTGCCACTGATAACCTCATCTTTTGCTTATAGAAAAATTCACATTTTTCTACTCATTTTGTCTACTGTTTCTTGTCTTGAATAATGAGTTGACATAAAAACTCTAGCCATAATACACGAAATGTATTTAATTTTTACTATAACGCCCGTAAACAGAAAAATTATAAGCGAATTTTTTAATATGTCTTGAAGTTTCCAACGCGACGTTGCCACCGGTTATTTATATGTACTCCTCTCTGAAGACAAGTTATGTTCAAAGTTATAAATTTTTCTTGTTTTTTTTTTGCATTTTCAAAAACTTTAAGAAGCATTACGGGAAAAGAGCAGAATACCCGCATTGTGTGTAATTCCGCTTCTATTTTTTACACCCTACAATAGACCCATATTCACTTGTTAACCTTCAGTCATCTGTCTCTAGATGGCTAGGCGAATACCGTACTGATAATTGGTAAAAAGCATAAAACAACACCATGTACTTGTAATTATGGTTGCAGAGACGGAAAGCCAATTGATTCTATTTGACGTTTCCAAGTAACTCTGTTTTCAGGACCAAATGTTCGAAGGAGAGCTAGGCTACGCCACTGTGTAAGTGAGCATTACACAAAAAGCTCCTGTGTGGCTATCCCCCAATCACACGAGATATGCGGAGGTGTGAGGTGACGATGAAAGTTTTATGACTCACACAACAGATTTTTTCTTTTCTTTCACTTCCAACACTGATCTCAGATTTAGCTTAGAAAGTTGGGGTATATTGAGAAGGATAGGTACAAGAAAAAACTTTTTCGAATTCCACTCAGGGTAGAAGGGTTCCCTGTGTTAGCCAATTTATACAGTACATAAAAAAAATATTTAGGAAAAATTTCAGGCAAAATAACTCTACGGTTGATCGCATCTATGAGATTTTTGCTCTCAAATATTCTGAGACATGTGTATTGTAAACTTTCATCAACATTTTTTTGTATTCGATTGTTTTTTAAAAGCCCACAGTTCGCAATTTTAGCATTTTTCTCGATAACATTCACCAATTTTTGAATACTCAAGTCAGTATTTTTATGACCATATAGTCGTAGTACTTTCTACAACAAATGATAAAGACAATGAGCCGTATTCATAAAACAAAGGATATCCTTGTACTAGCAAATTTTGAAGGATGATATTTATAATAATTTGAAGTAAATGCTTTTGCTTTTTGAGTATAAGCATATCCTTCAAAGCAGTGACATAAGTAAAAGGATATTCATAATCTTCACCTTATACTTAGCATAGGAAGCATATCTCTAAAAATTCTGAGTGTGGTCAGTAGCAGGCTCAGCTTCGTAACGAAAGGTGGTCAAACGATGATGGCGGAAATTGTGGATGTTAAAACGTACAAACCTCGTTTACCTTCACCTGGCCGTGACTTCAAAACATTATATCGGTTCGACGAAGCAAATGTACAATGGCTTGCGGACAGATTTTTAGTTGAGAATGAGGAAACTGGAGGAGGAGCACCTCAATGTATTCTTAAAATGAAGATATGTCTACGTTATCTCGGTGACCCTGGATATCAACAAGGTATTGGTCAGGAACTTGGTGTTAGTCAAGCAACGGTATCTCGGACTGTGGATAGAGTTGTGAACAGCATAGTTGCACAGTCGAACGAATGGATCAAGTTTCCAACTACCAACCATGAACTGATGGAGGCCAAGCGGATATGGCAAAGCATGTATAAATTTCCGACAGCAATTGGTGTAATTGATTGTACACATATAGGAATCCTGAAACCAAATCGCCATGGAATTGAGTATATCAACCGAAAAAGGAAACCTACTTCGCATGTGCAAAGCAACTTGTGATGCCAGAGTGTTGATGTCAGTTGGCCTGGATCAGTGCATGATTCCAGCATATGGAGAAATTCACAGACTAGATCACAACTAATAAATAAAGCAAATGTTGTACTACTTGGCGCTGACGGTTATGGTATTGAGCCAAGCCGTATGACTCCCTTCAGAAATCCTACTCCAGGTGCAGAAATAAATTATAATAAGCTTTTTTGGTCTATGTTATTCATCATATGTATATACACCTTATGAAAAACCATTGTTATACATGGGAAATCATTTCTTGGCAACAGCGCATCGGCTCGTCTACTTTCATCGCTATTCGTACATATTTCCTACCGTTAACCGCAGACCTGTATCACGAATGAGAATAATAGGCAGATACGCTGTGTTGCCAATTTGAGTAGATCTTCCCGAATTGTGGGGAATTTAGAGTTAAGTGTTGATTCATTCAAGCTTTTAATCAGCATGGCCTAGACGTTAGAACTTCATAAAGATAACATTGAAGCTGAATACTGCTGGAGTATAGTGTTTCGAATATTCAAAGCGGAGCGGGATACTATACTCGTTCAATGGGTCATCAAGCCACAGTCTTTTCAACAAAGAAATTATTTTACGAAAATGCGTTATATTTTTACGATTTTGTCGTCACCAAATATCTGTTTCTCAAAATGTACGTCTATTGTAGAATTTTCAGCAAACTAAGCAAGAAACGTGATCTAGTATTTAAATAATAAAAATGTGACCTAGATACCTAACTGCCCCAAGCTCTTTAAATATAACACCTTAAACCAGGGTTACCAGGTGCTCAGTCACGTTGATTGTCATGTTGTACTGCGCAAGTCAGCAAACAATCTGGCGTAATAAACGTTAGGAATCATCAGGTATTGCCAGATTCCCGAATACCGGGCACCATAGTAACCGTTATAGTTGTCCTTCAAAGTTGTCAAATCGCCCCTATGGCGCAAATTCGCCACACCAGGCAACTGTGCTATAAACAAACCCTGTTTATCACTACTATTTGATAGTCATATGGTAGTTGTAGCCCTATCTAGCGGTCCATGATTTCTCTCAATACTGTTGTATCTCTACTGGCAACAAGAATAGGGATTACAAAATCATTTATACAACAATATACAAACATGAAAAATATGATTTGAACCATGAAACATTAATACAATTTTAATTGAACTTTTGTCATTTTTGGAATACTCTTATGTGGAATCCGCAGCTATTTTTCCCAAAATTTGGGTAGACTTAGATTTCTTAGAAATATGACATATTGGTATCGGCAACTCTGCGAATGGGAGAAACAAATCGCATTTGTTGAGCGCATCCGTCTAAGCGGTAGGCGCCAGCGCCCGTTCTGCCATCTCTCTCTTTTATCACTCTTCTACTTTACCCCCTTGTCCATCACACTCCGACGCTGCCAGATAAGATCCTACAATCGAGTGTCTTTCACGCACCTACATACTTTTGTATATTTCCATCTCTATTCCTCATCATAATGTATAATAATGGTTTTTCCCATACTGTATACTATTTTCTGTCTACCTCACATTGATTTTGACATATGTAATTACATATTATCATTCGCTTATTTGGGTGCTCCCCTCCAGTGGTTGAGTAGAGTAGCTGTCAGCTAGGCATCGCCACTGATATTATTATATATATATATATATATATATATATATATATATTTTTATTATACGGAATTTTCTTTGAAAATAAAAGACGGTTTATTATTATTATTATGTCATGTAGAAAACAAATTTTTCGCGATTGTAATACTGCCTCGCCAGTAGCGTGAGAACTAAGACCCAATTTTCTTATGAGAAATTTGCTTCCGCATTTTGTTGAAATGAGACTAAGATTT